TACGTATATAAAGAAAGATATACATCCATTTCCAAAAATATATAGCAATCTTTTCCTTCGTATGCAAGACGGGACTCTAAAAGAAAGCTGAAATATCGATTTTTCGTCGAAACTTGACAAAAATGGTTCCTTTGGAAGATTTGCCACCGGGCAGAAGGGTTCCTATTCCGTGGAGCGTCTTATATCGATGGTGAACCTATAAAAACATTTGTTCAGTTTGCGACGTAGCGAATATGTACTCGGCTGCCATATTCCCTCTGAATGCAAAGAGAACAACCGTCTTTAATTCCTGAAATTGTGTATAGTTTTTTTACATATGAAAAATTATTCTTTTAAAATTTAATGTAAAATTTGTTATATTCTTCATTTTCTCCAAAATAGTATACTCAGAAATTTTTGTCTCAATTTCTTCGGTAAGCTAGTTGTTGGAATTCTAGTCCCTGATTGATTATAGTAGACAAACTTCCTTAATGGGCGAGGCTGGTCAAAAGCTGACAACACCCCTCATGTCGCGGACAATGCAAGGACATAACTATCTCATAATTATAAACAAGGAAATTGAAGGCGATCCGGCTTTCTTTTAGGGTATCGCCTGCGAATGCGACAATTCGTGCTCAAGGGATGCCCGTGTTGCATGCATGAAAAATTGAAGGCATTTTAACTTTTTCGGTAGCGTTACCTACAACGCATGAATGAAACTATTCGTACTCAAGGGATGCCCGTGTTGCATGCAAAAAATTGAAGGCTCTCTGGTTTTTTTTAATGGAAACGCCAAGCACGCACCGCAACAGGAGCTGTTGATTTATCAATCACGTTGCCCTGGCTACAATTGAATCGGTGTAGGTATGCGAAAACGTCCGATGTCCAATACGGTGTTCCAGAATTTAAGACGACGATTTAGTTGTAACGTAAAAATACAAGATGGTTTTAGACGTTAGGAATGTAGAACAATTTTACAAATAATCCCCTCAGTATAATAATTAAACGTTTACAAAAGAAATTGATCTTATTCTTAAAAGTCGCGGAGGAAATGAAACCATCGCAATTATGAAACCCCGTGTTGGACAACGGGCGTTTTGACATAAGTCGATTCAATTAAAAAAGTCTTTCAGATTCGGAAGAGCCGTTTAGACCTGCAACAGAATTGCCAATTTATGCGATATTCGAAAATTTTACCAGCCATGATTTATAGAATTGATATTTGCGATGATCGTGCAAAATCCTTTTCGATATAAAACTATGCGCCGTGCAAAACTTATGTAACTTAGTCGTTTTCCTTATTTTTTTTACCGAAACAAGAAAAAAATTACCAACACATTTAAAGAACCGGAAAATTCATTTTTTCACTCTGCATACTGCGTCAAAAAATTACTGCTGGGCACCAGTTTTTCCTGAATTTATCAAAAATGACTCTCTTGCAGCTTATGATGAAATTCTCAGACGTAAATCCTTTCTTAGACACGTCAATTGAAGCAATTAAGTACACTTACTTCGAAAACGAGTTATGCACTTTTCAACGTTATGAGATTTCGTAAAAGTCTCAGCTATGCCACGTGACTTGAGCGTCTCGAGAGACCCAACGTTAATAAGTATTCTCCAGAAACAAATTCAATGCATTTCCTGACGATTCAAATGAGGTACTTCCGGGAAGTGTTTTGAATGCAACGGCGAAGAAATTGCGCAATCCTAGCTGCAGTTTTACAAAGGGGACGACTTATTTGTTGAGCACCTGACTGCTTCGAATAATGCAATACGTGCATTTCCCCGCACCTAAATAATGGTAATAATGGGTCACTAGACCTTGTACTTTTCATTCAATATTCTAAAAGTACCAGGTGAGGAGATTACGTGGTGATTTATTACGTATTTTTGGCACCAAAATCCTGAACAAGCCCGCTTTTAAAAAGTACATCGACTCAAGGGAATTTCAAGCACAGCGGAATATGGCGGGAAAATGATAAAATTGTTGTACTACGCGGGAGTTAAATTGCTACCCCCTCTCATTATCCACAGATCCTCTGAAAAATGAAAAGTATTTCAATGGAGCTTTGTTGCTTATTTGCCACATATTACATGACAGCGATTCGATTCTTTAATGCTAAAAATATAGTTTCAAAAAGTATTTTCAAGACGATTCCGCTGACCTATGGTGGTGTTTACACACAGCTCATGTTTAGTCCGGAAAAACTGGGTTGCAAGAAGGTGGTAATTCCCCCTGCTTGTTCGTCTCCCCCACACGATGAAAAGGAAGGTTAATGGACCTCTCCCAGCTGAAATTCAGTGAAAAGTTCCAAGGGCGAAAAATTCGTGTTGCCGTCTCAAACATACCAGATCAAATCAGTCGCGTGGCGTGCTACGCGATTTATCGACGTATCTGTCATTTAAACCTATGGAAAAGGATCGATAAATAGGGTGTTCACAACGAACACCATAATGATCGATTCTTCATCACAGTTTCAAATGGGAAATTATCGATAATCGATCATCGATTATTCACGCCTCGCCACTGGATCAAACACGCTATCGTAAACAGTAAACACTCCCTCTCTGGAGAGAATTTTCCAAACTCACGGACGAAAACAAATCGACGGCGTAAGTCCGCAATCAAATATCTCGTTTGCAGTGTGTAAAAATCTCCGCCTCTATGATGTTTTTTAAAGGGGAACAAATTGACATTATTCCTTGAAGTTTTTGCAGAATTTTCTTCGCAAAGAGAAGAAAAATCACGGCAATTTTTTTAAGAAGTGCCGTTGAGTAGTTTTCCGTTCAAAAAAAAAAAAAGTATGACAGGAAGTCTACGACGTCGCAAACCGAGTTATGTGGTTGCCGACTCACACCGTCGAAATTTGACTCTGGAGCAATTGCTTTTTATCGACTGCCAAATTAAGAAACCACGTATCTCCGTTTGCGACATTGCCGACTTTCTGTCGTACTTTGCTTTTCTTTGAAAAAATAGTCAACGTAATTTTTGGAAAATTTCTTTGATTTGTTTCCTCTGTTAGTAGAATATTCTATATAAATTTCACGCTTTAAGTCTGGCTTTTTTCTTCTTTGAAATAGCATAATAGGGGCGGAAATTTTATTATAACGTTGCAGTGAATGCACGCGGTTCTGCATTTTGGCCATCGAGATGAATCCTCTATCTCTGTTAGGGTTTTTTCGGAGGGAGGGCTAGGTGTAGCCTGACTCTATCACAAATCAACTTTACAGAATACCCAGGTTTCGAAAAGTTGACGTGCTTATTTGACCCAATTCCCGTGTTTGCGACGCAGCAGAGCAAAATGTGTCTTAGCGTGGAAACTCAGATTGTTCAGCACGGCGGAAATCTACGGGGCTTAAAAATATTAATTTTCAATTTTCAATGCTAATTAATCTCTAGAAAATCGGGCCAAAGTTTCAAGCATTGCTAAAAGCGCTTCGCTAAAAGCATTTGAATTGAATCTTTGCTCAGACTTGCGATAGCCACCGGCAAACTTATTTGACGATAGTTTCCGCAAATTGCTCGCTACGTGCTTGAATCGCTGCAATTTGTGGGCGCTCTTAGCGCCAAATGATGCAGAGTTAACCCTTCTAAGCTGTAGTATCGTCATTACTATAAGCTCTCTAACTACCTGAATTTTCCTTATTCGTCATGATTGGTTCTATCGTTCTAGTGGGTCGATTTCTATTATTTTTGCAGGTATCGCCTGACGATAATCCCTAGATGAGCTTGTCGACCCGCACTATTCAGATTTCGGAAACTTAACTCATGGAGTAACTCACGGGAACTCGCCCTGCCACTCTACCGTACTAAGGAAGAACGCCGTATGAACGATCAGGCGCTGCCCAATTTCTTTCGGTAAATCACGAATTCTGGAGAAAATGTGTAAACATTTTATCTTCCGATTTTTGAGATAATTGTGTTCGCAATTTCACCTAAAGTTCCCGAAAATTTCAAAGAAAAATATACGTAGCTTTCCTCCAAAATAAACATTTTATCGAAGGAAATTTGGCAACTCTCGATTGTTCATACGGCGTTTTTCCTTAGCACGGCAGCAATGGTCTGCGTAGCGGCTAGAGGGCGTTGTTCTCTCTCAGTTACTCAATTTTTGTCTCCTACTTGAAGGTGTACATTTTACCCTACTGCATCACATAAAATGAACTTGGAATATTTTTAAACAGTGTGATTCATGGACGAGTCGTCTCCGATCGGCTGATCCGCATGGTGCCCACTTTCTTGAGCCCTTATGGAAAATAATACAAGGTTCATCTTTCATCGAAAATATCTCGAAAAAAAAAGAAAAATTTACCCTTCAGAGATTTTAAAAATCAAGTCTCCGCCTTTTTTAAAGAGATTGATGGGTAATGCATGACATATTTCTTCAAAAAACCAAAAAGTTCGACCTGGATTTTTTTTTCAATTTAAAATATGACACTTGGTGTCACGATAAAACAAAATTCCAGGTCGAATTGTTCGGTGTTTTTGAGGAAAAAGTATCACGTTTTACTTATGAATCTCTTCAGGAAAACCTGGAGAATTGATTCTTCAAATATTTTACGTATAAATATTTTTCGAGTCATTTTCGATGAAAAACAGGCCGCGTATTATTTTCCAGGAAGACCCCAGAAAAGGGCACCAGGCGGATGAGCCAATGAGAGACGAGTCATGAAAGTAGGGGGTACAACTCGGCTCGCAATTCAAATTGTAACGCGTTCAGCAGAAAGGAACCAAGCCACATCAGCTATTGCCAAATTTAACCGGGCAATTTCATTTTTTACAAACATTTGTATGGATTCTTTTGGAAATTTTAAGGAAATTGCCTTGTAATATGCAGAAAATTCACTGAAATTTGCAGAAAAATCCGCACAACCGTTTCCACGTATAAAATAAAATTGCCCAATTAAATTTGGGAATAGCCGATGCGGCTTTGGTTTCTGTCTGCTTAACGCGGTCCGATAATTGCTGCTCTTGGAAGTAAATGGATGTGTGATGATTGGATGGTGCTGCTTGAATGTTTCAGACGATGAACCAATCGGAGAAACAGTCTGACTCTATGCTCATGCTGGCTGAGCCACCCCTAGAGGAGGAGCACCACACGGACAGAGAGGACCATCGAATGGAGGAAACGGAATGCGCTTTGCCGCCCCGCTCCCCACCGCCATCTTACCAACACGCCCTTAAAACAGTAAGAGGCCTCTCAGCATTCATATTCTTTTTATTATTTTTACCGCTCGTAAATTATTTCTACTGCATAGGAAACGAGCTTTTAAAAAAATGAGAGACAGTTGTCTGTAAGGGGCCTATTTTCGCCCTTAAATTTATCATGAATATTAAAAACACAAAAAATGTTTGTAGGCGGCAAATTTTACTTTATAACATCATTTAATATCATGTTCCGGTAATACATTTCTTCTAAATGAAATGGTACTTTTTTCTTTTGATTCATCTTTTCAAATTGTCATTGGTGAATATTTGGTTTTATTTCTATCCTAAAGATTTTCAAAATGAAATATACCTTAAATATACCTCTTTTTTACATTGAAATATTACCTCGTTCAAAGTATATTTACATTTTTAAAACGTGGCAAATATTTGTAAAACCATTTTAGAACAATGACATCGATATTAATCCCAATGAGCTGTCGCCGTGTTGAAAGGAACTACACAAAAATGGGTAAAAGGGGAAAATAAACCAAGAAGCACGCAATCATTGGTTTTAACCCATTTGTACTCCGATCTTTCAGAGTCAAATTCGTCCAATTTTGAGCATTTGGTTCCGAGTACACTAAATTGCAGCACACTAACAGCACAAAAGATAAAAGAAAATATTAAGTGCTTTGGAAATCATTAAATTTGACTCGGTACCACCTTAATATTTAGAAAACCCTTTATGTTTCCTTAAGACATAATTATGTTTCATCAATTTAAATGAGAATAATCCATGCTGTGTGTGCAAACACTTCAAAATCATGAGTTGAAAAACGCTGACTCAGCGAGTTAAAATATTTGAGCCAAACACAGAGCGGAGCGGCGTGCTACCAGCGCGACATGCGCACTGGCGCCTACAAACCTAACTGGGATACCTCATGCATTGCGCAACGCTTGAAGTATCCCTTTAGGTTTGTAGGCGTTGGCCGCCCGCCTGCCATGCCACAGCGTACTACCGCGCGGCGTCTCAAGCAACTATTTCACATCAGGGGTGTTGCACAGTATCATACGAAATTGAAGGCGCTCCAACGTATTAAGAATGACAGGCATCCTTAAAGATTCTTGCAAAATAAATCAAGATACTGCACAAGAAGAGAGCGGTAGTCCAAAAACTCACCAAGAGAAAAAAGCGACTCTATTTAGGCAGAGACATTCTTGAGTGTGCCGTAAATAAAATTTTAGTTTGAATCAAGAATAAAATAGCTGAATGGAATCATGTTTCTGCTTGATGTAAGTTATATAAGTATTTATAAGTGGACCAATTAACTGTGGGTCCAAATTGGTAGTTGAACATTATTGTTTCCTTGGAAAACTAGTCAACGTAATTTCTTACAAACTTCCTTGATATTTCTTCGCCATTGGCAAGATATTCTGTCAAGATCTCAAGGAATAAAGTCGACTCGTTTCTCTTCGAAAAAATCAAATCAGAGCGGAAATTTTGAGACACCGCAATGAAGAAACGCAGTTTTGGCCGTCAGTTTAAACGCCATATGAACATTCGTGGGCCACCAATATCCTCTGGTAAAATATTAATTTTTGAGTAAAGTTTTGAATATTGTTCCTTTAAATATGCAGGAACCATAGACAAAATCGGGATAATGCCAAAAAAACTTCATTTTGCGCCAACATGGGCTTTCAGACTCATGTTAAGGCCACAATTAGACCTGAAAAGAGAACAAAAATGACCAAATCATGATTCATTCCGTAAAATATAGACCATCAAAAAGTAAAAAATCGTAAAGTTGATAAATTCAGCTAGAGTGAGCCCATATCGATAAATTTCCTTTAAAAGGTACCTAGACTGCCAGTCAAATTTTGAGCATAGGATCAGCCTGTAACATGAGGTATTAGAACATGACCTTGCGTAATGCTGGTAAACAAAATTCGGTTCGTATTCGACGACAGTCTCCAAAACTGCCGTGCTAAGGAAGAACCCCGTAAAAACATTCGAGAGTTGCCAAATTTCCGGAAAGTTATGAATATTTTTCCTTTATATTCTAAGAATTTGACGAACTGAATCATCTGAAAAATTGGAGGGAAAATTTGCATAGGTTTACCAGAAAATCCATGTTTTACGAAAGGAAATTTGACAAGGCCTGAAGGTTTATACGGCGTTATTCCTTAGGACGGCAGTGTACTTACCTGATCGTTTCCCACGACGGTGGAGACTGAGGGTCTGGAGCGTGGAGTGTCGAAATTAGCACGGACGTCTC